CACCATATGCTAAAATTTTTAGGGAGATGGCCATTTTAGGTATTGAAGGTTTCTGTAGTGTTTTATGTAGATAATTTTTTCTGAGACATGATTTTGTCTCATATTTTATTTTTGTAAACATACTGTGTACAATAAACCGATCCCTGGAATGAAAGCACAAACAAAGCACGATAGCGGGCACAAAGATCAAGTGGGCCATCATGACTGTTTTGATTTTGTGTGCCAGGATCAGACCGGGATAATCCTTTTATATTTAATTATGCCAGAAAAAAATGTCATTCTCATCATTTCCATAAAGCAACAGGACACACAGGATTGCATTCTGTAATTTTAATTTTACTTCTTTTTTTTGTTTTTCGGTTATCATATTGTGCACAATAAGCCGATGCTCTGGATTGAAAATGAAGGAAGCATGGTAATGTGCACAAAGATTGAATAGGGTCATCATTTCTGCTTGCTTTGATGCCTGTGGCCGTGATATGCAGGCCTGGATCAGACCTACATATTTCCCCTCCCTTCTATTTGTTTATCTCCCCACTTTAATCTTTTTACAAGGGAATAAATAAGGCAAACACATTAGTTAAATTTTTTTTATCAATCTTTAATCACTTGAAGGTTCATGCATCACAACATGTAATCTCATATTGTTTTTTGGTTTTCATCGTTTTTCTTTTGTTGTTGATACACTTTAATATGTATGCTTATGTCGTGGTAAATTTTAGTCACATTATCTTTATTTTACAACAATATGTATGCATATGGTTTTCCAATATGGAATGTGTAAATTTGGTTCATAGGTTGGGACAACACTAAAGGTTATGGAACTCATCAAGTTTATGCCATAGGAAATCGGGATGGCTTTGTATTTTGTTATTAAACTGTGTCCATCTCAGTTATAATAGAACTGTATAAATGAACGTGGAGAAACACTTTTCACTTTTGTCTAATTGTGTTTACACATCACTAGAAGATTATGTTACACATTGCAGTGAGTTGCTCCTGAATTGTTATTATTTTTATGCTGTCCAGCGCTTTCTTCACTTATTTTCCTCTGATGTGCATTCCTAATTTGAACCTAAACTTGACAGCCTGATGAGCCTGTTGTAGAAGACGAAGAGGATGATGAGGAAGATTCTGAAGATGAAGAAGATGACAATGCCGAGGATGGTGCTGAAGGTAAGTAGATTGTGAACCTCACTCAAAATTCCTACTCATAGGGTCTAGCTGTTGTACAAGTGTGGTTATGCTTGGATTTCATTCACATGCACAGGTCAGCTACTAGATGGAACTAAGTCCAAACAGAGTAGAAGCGAGAAGAAGAGTCGCAAGGCAATGTTGAAGCTTGGGATGAAATCCATCCCTGGCGTAAGCCGTGTTACCGTAAAGAAGAGCAAGAATGTTAGTCTCCTCATTTTCTTTTGCCTTTAGAAGTTTTGTAACACTCAATCCATTGAGCTTGTGATTTATATGTTTTTAACCACACTGATATCTGAATGTCTATTTGCAGATCTTGTTTGTCATCTCAAAACCAGATGTTTTCAAGAGCCCAACATCAGACACATATGTTGTCTTTGGTGAAGCAAAGATTGAGGATTTGAGCTCACAACTGCAAACTCAGGCTGCAGAGCAGTTCAAGGCTCCTGACCTCAGCCACGTGATTTCCAAACCCGATGATGAGTCCTCAGCCATAGCTCAGGATGATGAGGATGTTGATGAGACAGGGGTGGAACCCAAGGACATAGAATTGGTTATGACTCAGGCTGGAGTTTCCAGGTCAAAGGCTGTAAGGGCACTTAAAGCTGCTGATGGGGACATTGTTACTGCCATTATGGAGCTCACAAACTAAGAAATGTCTATGTAGTGTGATTGAGTAAGCAGTTTATTAATGTGGATTTGTTGGTTGAGTTCAGAATAGTTTTTTCAATTTTGTTTCTCCTTCAAGTTTTATTTTGTATTCAGAACTAAATTTTGCAGTTTTTTCATTGTGTTATGGGGTATATTGTATGATTATGCTGTGAGATGTCTGGACCCTTTGTAAGCCACCCTTGTAGCAGCACCTCATGTGCAGTTTTTTAACCTTCAACTCAGGCTAATGTTGGGGAGTGAGGAAATTAGGTGAGTAGAGTACTTTGTTTGAATTTCTGTCCAGTTTTGTGAATTGTTTGAAGTTCATAGAGACTTGCCTCATAACCTTTTCTACGATGATTTGCTTGTTCAAAATTTAAGCTGGGTTTGACTCCTATTGTAATATTCCTTCTTACAGCTACGAGGAGTGTATTGTTCGTTTATGAAGACTTGTCATAACTTGTAACATTGTTTTGTCACTTCTGTGTGCCTTTTTCTTGTTTTAAAACTCACTTTCAGAAGAAATTAAATACATTATTGTTGGTAAAATTGGTGTGTTCTAACTATGATCACTTTGTTGGATTTCTATTTACTATCAGGGTGTTCCTAACATGAAGTTTAGAGGGGTTGGGTAAATTTGTTAAATACTCGCTATAGTATGAATTTTGGGAACACTAGAAACTGAAAACTCACAATGTATTTTTGCTAGAAGTATTCTGCTGAATTTTTATAGAAAATGTATATTAATATAAATAAACCATTATTCCATAGTATTTTCTTATTTTGGAAAAAGCTCCAAATTTTTTCAAAAATTCACATCCTTGCTATTAGTTGGCTTCTCAAATCTGGAGAACGCAATACATCTGTATTTGTATAATTTTTTG